CGTAGCTGTTGTCGGCGAAGTGGTCGTTGATGTTGTCGTCGAAGTTGTTGTTGAGTTGGTCTTAGACGTTGTAGTTGATGTTGTTGTTGAGGTTGTCGTGGAAGTGGCTGTTGAGGTTGTCGTCGAAGTGGTTGCTGAGGTTGTTGTCCAAGTAGTTGTTGCGGGGGGTTTTGAGGTTGTCGTCGAAGTGGTTGTTGAGGTGGTCGTCGAAGTAGTCGTCGAAGTGGTTGTTGAGGTGGTCGACGAAGTAGTTGTTGAGGTTGTCGTCGAAGTAGTCGTCGAACTAGTTCTTGAGGTTGTCGTCGAAGTGGTTGTTGAGATTGTTGTTGTTGTTGAAGTGTTGGCTGAGGTTGTCGTGTAGCCTGACCCTTTTGTGGTTGTTAGCTGGCTTTCTGTGCGACGAGTAGAGCTTGTGTAGTGCGTTTTAAATGTTGTTGTTGTTCTTTCCGCGGTTGTCATTTCCATCTCTAAATATGAAGGAGTGATTAAGTCTTGCTTTTTAAATTTGATTTCGCAGCTTTCAGACATGAGCAACAAGCTTTACGTCCGTTGGAGCTGTACTTATTGACACAAGGTTGAAGAAGTAATAATAATCTATACAAAATCAACAGCAATTATTTTATTTAGAGTGCAAGAGCTTTCGATTCATGACTGGTTGCAGTATTTCGAGTTCAGAATGTTCTGCAAAAGTGAAGGAAACAACGATGATTGTGGGGAAAAGAAAAGAAAACAACAGAAGTAAACGGAGTCACGCGCTTTTTAATATTTTTACATCAAAAATTCTATAAATACGTAGCATCAACCCGTTTAGTCTAACATGACTGTGTGATAGATATGATTTCTCGAAATACATTCCGACGTAGAACGTTCTTCGTATTAAATGTGTAGTAGGCTTTTTATAATAAACCAACGACGCATCATCAATTCTTCACATTCTGATAGACAAGGTCTCCTATGTACTGTCGCAAATATAAAACAGAAACGCAAACATGCGTAAGTGTTTAAATCTTGACACTTATTTGTTTTAGAATCCAAGTGATATAACTAGCCATTCTGCTGTAGACGCCTGGTTTTCCTGAACCACCACACGAACTGACGTTTGATACAAGTCCGATCAGTGACCATGTTTTGGACGCCTGCGAATATTGCATGAGAGGTGCACCAAAATCAAGGGCACACGCACTCTGTAATCCTTGAGCGTACCCAGCACAAAATGCTTGAGCGTTATACGACTTGTTACCTACGTTGAGATACTGCGAACAGTTGCGATTGATTACGTCTTGTGTCAGCAGAATAGCCTGATTCAAATTACCATTGAAGACGGGTTTGCTTACCGTTCCGGATGTGCCATATCCAATGAGCACGGCGAACTCATTGTTTGATGGTTTCCTAGTATTGTTAAAATTAGATGGCAGACAAACGTACTGCGTTGATGGTGGTGCAGCATCTAATTTGAGTAAAGCCAACTCGTTGACGGTAAGATCGTTGCTGGTTCTCACTCTAGTGGGGTACAAAATAACTTGTGACACAATCGAAAACTGTATTGAACTAGAATAATTGTTTCTATTGGTCAGACCATAAGCGGCAAACAACGAAGTTGCGGTGATGTTAATCAACTTATTTCGCAGCAAACACGATGCCGTGGTATTAACCCATGTAGGACGAATGAGAGCACCAGTATAATAGAAGATTTTTGTTGAGCCGATGGCCATTAGCCACGGATAAACACCTTTGCGCGTGATAGGTATACCACCCACAACGCGTTTCTTTCTGGATAATGTATATTCTGAGATTTCTGAAAGGTGAAGCTAAATAATGGTATCTGCAGCAGTCACATCAGATTCATTCTTGGTCTTCATTCAAAACTCTCATAACTAAAACGTACACATCATCATTTCAAATGACAATAGCTTTCGAACGTCTTCTGAATTACCATCAGACAGCAAATCAGAGCGTTATCGATTATGACAACGCAGTCATTAAATTGTGTAAACAAACAAACCCTTTGGTTTAAGCTTTAATCTTGAACCAGAACGAAATCTGGAATATAAATTCCCATTATATCATTCTGAAACTTAAACTATCAAAACACAAAATCAATCCTTGCACGAAGCTAGGATCTAACACACGAACTTGATCTTTGCAGACGAACTGCAAAAATCAACTTCGCTGTTTTTTCCTATATTCTGCACAAAGATTGAAGTTGTGCAATGACTCGATGTTATCCTTCAATGTATATTTTTTATTGTGTTTTTGTGTTTTGTTTTTGGTTTAACAAACCCTTTAATGGATGAACGAACAAAAATTCATCATTTAATAGCTAATTTGAACCCGTCACTCAGGCCAAAAGTCATAATGAAAGATCCAACATCCCTTGAAGATTTTTTGAAACACGCTAAGAAAATTGATGACGCTCAAGCAATTGATGCTCGAATAGATGAAACGAATCTGTCTCTGTTTCATTGAATAACAGACATTATCCTTCTTCTCCGTCGGCATATGCTCCTTCTTACGTTCTACCTCGGAGAAGACACAAAGATGAAAATTTATCTCAACAGCAACAATTGATAACCACCACCGCTATCAAAAACGAATCATTTCTTCTTCTCCCAACAACACAATCCAAATCTAATAATCAAAATTCAAAACGGACCAACACCTCCTCATCTCAAAACAATAAACAAAATTCTTACCCTCATCGACAAGGACGTGATTTCCGTCGTGGTAGCTATCAACCGCCACAAGGAACCCAGGATTTTCAACAGCGGACGCCTCGAGTTCATATGGTGAGGCCTCCGATACTATTATTATCAAAAACCCATTACTTATTTTCATTACAGCACCAGTCAACAGCAAGTACATTCGAATTATGATCGACACAGGGGCAACTAATTCACTTATCTCAGAGTCAACTCTTCGGAAAACCAAACATCAGAAATTTCTTTCAATCTCTCATACAAAAATATATCAAGGAGACGGATTTTCACCTTTGGAAGTCATAGGTGTCGTTGAGCTTCAAGTCAAAGTAAAGAATATCCTCACATCTATTTCCGCATATGTCGTTGAACATCTTAGCGTTCATTGTCTACTTCGTATGGATTATATTAACGAATATAGACTCATAATCGATGCTGGACGTCAAACAATATCTGTTCGTAAAAATAACGTCATTACGACAATCAAGTTCGAACAAAATCTAGAAGACATTCGATTTCCTGTGCATTTAATCAATTCGGTTATTATTCAACCTCAACATGAAGTTTCTGCCAGGGTATCGGCCGGTATCTCATCAGCATCGGTCCTGTTTCAACCGTCTTATAATCTTCGCCAGCAGATACCTCTTGTTCTCCGAAATTCAAGACTAGAAGCCGAACGTCATACAGCTCCAATACCACTCTTCAATCCTTCGAAGTATCCTCAACGTCTTCCAAAAGGTCTGATCACTGGAACTATCACTATTCCTTCTGAAATCAAAGAAAATCTCCGCCATCTCCATCAGTTCTACTTAACAGTTTGATTAAAATACCAACATCATCAAACGTTCTAGACAACATTGAGAAAGTGCTAAAACATATTGACGATCCAACTCAACAGTCTATTTTCAAATCTATCCTTGTCAAAAATCAAAAACCATTTGATACGTCTAAACCTACCATAGCAAAATCTTCGATCTCTCATGCAATTGAAACCGCTGCACACTCCCCTCGTTCCCTCCTCGTTCAAAATCTCTTCCATTTTTTCGACCAAAACTTCAAGAATTAAAGGATCTTCTAAATCTTTTGCTTCGCTCCGGTCATGTCATTCCATCGAATTCTCATTGTGCTTCTCCAGCGATAGTAACAAGAAAAAAAGATGGATCGGGACGTCTTGTTATTCAGTATAAGAAGCTCAACGCTGTAACTATGTCCGACAATCATCCACTTCCTAATATGGAAAAAACCTTGCAAGAATTGGGGGTTAGCTTAAAGTATTTTTCAAAATTAGATTTACGTAGTGGTTTTTGGTAAATTCAGATTCATCCAAAAGACCGGCACAACACCGCCTTTGCCACTCCGTTTTGGGCTCTTTGAGTGGACAGTTCTCGCTCAAGGCTTAAAGAATTCGCCTCCCACCTTTCAGAAAGTTATGGAAAAGACATTACAATCTTGTGGCCCGTTTTATCTAGGCTACATCGATGATATTGTGATTTTCTCAAAAACCTTCTAAGAACATAGTCAACACTTCGAGAGAGTCCTCTCTCTTCTTCCAGATTCAAATTTCCAGCTCAATCCAGACAAGTGTGAAACAGCAAAATTACACATCGACTATTTGGGGCACGACATCAGTTTCTATGAAGTAACCCTCTGAAAGATGGAATCGAAGCAGTATTAAGTCTTAGGGAACCAGATACATTGGACAAAACCAACAAAATTATTGGATCTCTGCCATAGTGAATAGTAATGAATAGTGATCTTCATTAAAATAATACTTTGTCCTCATTGAAACTGTTGATCAATAGCAGAGAGAGAAAAGATCAACGTTGTCATCATGAATCATGTACTGCTGAGAGATATCTTATTGTGACCAGAAATCTTGGCTCTAACATGAATCCTAGAAAACCTTTTAATGAGCTCTTCGCGAAGACAAAATAACTACGGATCCTACTAGTACACGCCCTGAACTATCCAATAATGTGCATACCCCAATATCTACCTTTGCTAAAAGAAATAGTGCATTCCTGACGCAGATAGGCCTTTCTCTTAGAGCTATAACATCACATCATCGACATGTTCATGAAAATAGCACTTGTTTTCTTATGATTTCAAATATCCAATGCCAACTAATCACTAATAACAACTACTGAGGCATGAAGGAAATATTTACCTTCATAAAAACTACTACAGGTTACACGGCATAAAAATAATGCTTAATCACCCACCCAAACGAATCATTATTGACACGTTTTAACAAATACACGTATGGTGTAGAAGCATCTATTTTGTGGCACATATATACCTGTTACTGCAGATGCTGAAATCGTCCCGCTTAATCCATTGGAATTGCTGGTTTGTCCGAGCGCTTTAACAAAACAAAAAGACATTAAGGTTGGATGTTCACCACTTCCATTCGACTTACATGACACTTCTGTCGCACTCCCAGCTGCAGAAGTCGATGGTCCTAGAAAGAATTGGACAGTTGACTCGGCAGCTCTATTGGACGCGTTAGCCGGTAAAAGAACGTTTATCATAACCCTGTTTTACAGCAGATCTCGGCATCTTCTTCATTAGTAACCCTAATATATGAATACTCTAGCAGATACTAGCACTACTTCAAATCAGTCAACCTCTGTCTATTATGCCTTACCTGTTCGAATGAAAACAGTTTATAGGTTCTTATCCTAACAACTGTGAAGAAGAAAAACAGCCCTATATGTGAACATAAAGAGAAGAGCAGAATGAATTATGCATAATTAACCGTTACGGCTTAGATTAGACTCTTTTATACATAAAGTCCTGGGAACTATGCATAATTTTTAACTATGCATGGTTAATCAACTGCTCAGAATACCAAACTACAACAGAAAACTAAATAGATTCATCGATTTTACACTTTCTTTCATTATATATATTTCAATAATGAAACTAAAGCGTTTAAATGTTATTCCTGTTTTACTTCAACCCTTTGAAAAAACGACGCGCAGTAAAAGTTTTAATGTCACAACATAATTTGCCTGCACGTATTCTCGGCCTGAAATTGTCTGCCAGTTTGTAAATAAAAACACTGAGAAGATTTATACGAGTACTTCAAGGGAAAATTGGATGTAGGCACTTAATATCAAAAAAACTATAAACTTTATTATGCTTCAAGTGCAGTACGTTCAGTTATAGTATGATCTGTACAAACAACACTAAATGAAACAGCAAGTGATTAACAAAATAAAAGATAGTAATTCAGAAAGTGCTTTTCCAATCAATACCGTCAAATCTACTTGATTGATTGAAAAGTATGTTCCGAAACCCTCTACTGCTATGATTCGACTAGATTTAGAAAGTGAAGATAGTAAAATACGGAAAATGTTTGCTGCAGGCTACGCGGGCACTATTCAACAATGTACACTACTAATAAAATCTACTTTATCACAACTGTTGGCGGTTTGATCACACTGCTGTTGCGTTTAAAACTCCAACTGCCTGTAGGAAACGCGCCGCACCACATGTAATTGATTTCTGTTTGCCGAACTCCACTAGATACATCAATTGCAGTTTGTGCGCATGAAGCAACTAATGAGGAACTGATAGAAAGCAACAGAAAGCAGTATAGTAATGAATAGTGATCTTCATTAAAATAATACTTTGTCCTCATTGAAACTGTTGATCAATAGCAGAGAGAGAAAAGATCAACGTTGTCAGGATATTATGAACTATTTTAAAACTAAACAAATTTGACATTCTAATAGCAACAGAACCATAATAATATTGTTACATCAACAGGTAGTAATGATTTATTTCATAGTGAGAGAGCGATCAGTTTCAAGATAGTATATTGATATGTTTATCGAGCAAAACGGTTACATAATCAGAGCATACTAAATTTGACATTATCAACATATAAGTGAACACAAAGCGCCACTCTTCTTCTGGTCTGTATTATAATCGTCCAAACGAATTCGAGTAAACACTTTTTTGATTAATACTTATCAAAATTTTCTAAATTATATCTCTAAAATTCTATTGTGTGGAGACTTTAATGAACGTCATACAGCCTGGGGAGATCGAATAAACAACAGAGCTGGAGACAAATTACATTTTTTTATTAACTATAAAATTAGTGGAACATTGTTAATTCCTATGATCAGTTCGCACTTAGCATACGAAAAATCAAACAAGTATTATAAGTCTAGCACTATTGTCACTCAATGCTATGCTACACTTTAATTTGTATGCAGTTCTCAGCATCTTCGGTGAGTTGGATCAAAGACCTTTACTAATCACATTAGAAAACCTAATCGTTTTTCAACAAAAATTCATTCCCTTCGCTGTTCGATGGAAAATTAATAAAGCTAATTGCACAGTTTTGTTTTTTATATTGACTACTATCCATATATGCTGTGGCTCTAAGTGCAGCCAGCTGCCACTAAAATTTGAGCGAACAATAGTATGGCAGCGATTTATAATGGCGAAACCCTACCGGATATAGTTGTGAAATAAAATAAAAGCTCATTGCTATGATGATACGAGAAGGTGTATCGTCAATGACTTATCTCATCAACACAACAGGAATTATAGCAAATATTCAAGATTGACATGATGCATGTCAAAATCAAGGAGAGATAGTACAACGACAGCAGAAGAATTCAAATAATATTCTCGTTTGCAGATGGCTCGCCAATAAATCAGCATTGTCTGTAACATCACCAATTGTTGATCACATAAATCAGCCATGAAAGCAAGATATCTAGGATTATACATTTCACCACTCCATGTTAAAATGTACACAATGGATATATCTGTTTGCTGTCTGCCATTCGAGAACGATGAAACGAAGAATTAAGTTTGAGAGTGAACAAGGACTTTCACTCTGAAAGTTGATAAAACATAGTTTTTTAGCCACTAAACTTTTGTTAAACAAACATCGGGAGAAAACATGTCTCAACAGGGAATCGAATATATACATATTGTAGTGGTATCTCATGCGCAGAAATATACATTTCGATACCTAAGATCATTTAATCGGAACAAACATGTCGAAGACCGCCTCGATAGTCTAATGGTAGAGCATCGGGCGTGTTAGGCGATGTCCTGGATTCGATTCTCAGTCGAGACATGTTTTTCTCCGGAATGAAGAATGCCCACAAGATCGATAATCAGCAATGTGTTATAATCTAGAGCAATCTATTATATTCGACTGCTCAAAATACTAAGCTGCAACATTAATTGATAACCAATTTAACCAATAAACAAAATTCATTCGCGAAACGTTTATTAAAGTAAAACGGGATTCACACATATCCACCTATTTCTTATAGACGTCAAAGCCACTAAACCTGGACGACTTCATAAACGTGCCTCTAGTAGTGAGTGGATGTCTTCGTCTTGTAGAAAAACGGTTCTAGAAGCACTTTGACTTGCTGATAGACTACCATCAGCATGCAAAGAAACCTGTCCAAATACATAATTTTCGGATGGCACATAGCAGAAGTCCTGTCATGTAATATTCTTACAATGTTACTCTGTGATTAGAGTATGTAAAGATGTGAAATTTAGGTTTATAACTCATATTTCTAATATCTGCTGTGAGATCGGTTTCCTTGCGGATCCTCTCTCTTAAATTCTAAGCAAGACTCGTTATACGAGATATTTAAAACAGAACATTAATCGTCTTTGAAAGACAAATATCACACAATCTTACTTGTTGTTGATGTGGAAGAGATGACTGTTCCGGAAACCGTAGTAGCAGTACTGGCTAGGGTAACACTTGTTGTTGATGGAGCTAAACAAAATGAATACAACTAACAAGACTATCTAAAGCTGTTCTTTTAATGACAACATAGGTAGCTATATTTCATGTATTACTAAGCTTTTCACCTTCTTCTTAATAAAAAGACAGCTACTAGACAACATTTATTCGCGACGTTCGTACCTTAACTCTAAGCCATAATACACGTCTAACGATTTTCTGATAAATACTACTAGGTAGAATTTACGAACAGTGAACCCACATTGAAATAGAATTAGAATGAAAAAATTACTAAACAATTATAAAATTCATTCATTCCCCACCAGACTTGTATAAAAGATGCTGTGACAGCACAAAACCGCCACATTCAATGGACTATTCCTCAACAAGACGTTTTCCGGGTTCTACAGTACGTTCTTTGAGAATAAAATCAAGCTTCTCATTTTCTGCGTTCAAACTAAGTTCGTATATCTTTGTGTTCTGGATGCTGCAGAATCGAATCCAGCATGGTGAAAAACCTGTCGAAATACGTAATTTTCGGATGACACGTTTAGACAAATACACACATGGCGTAGAAACATCTATTTTGTGGCACATACATACCTGTTACTATAGATGCTGAAATCGTCCCGCTTAATCCATTGGAATTGCTGGTTTGTCCGAGCGCTTTAACAAAACAAAAAGACATTAAGGTTGGATCTTCAACACTTCCATTCGTCTTGCCACTAGGAAAACAGTTTTAGAAGCTCTTCGATGAAGAGACAATCTACATTATTGTCAAAATGCGAGATTGATTTTAGATTATGAAATAGTTATTCGAATAGTATCTGAGTATTTAACTGATAAGTTTGTGCGGTCTTTTACTCATCAGATCTGATTCGATTTAGTTTAAACTTTATTATTCAAGAGAGAAATAAGAATGGTCACTTTACACAGGTGCGGCCTAGGCAATTATATCAGAGGAAAATGACATGGTAAATGTTATAAGCTATTACATGTAAACAGCAAGAAAAAATATTGATTCGATTTCAGTATATCAAAATTCAAGTGTCACGTGCGATCATAGCTAACGGGAACGAAAATATGTGGAACACAGAAGTCTGAGGTCGCATTCTTTGTCAATTTATTTCTATGTGGTGTATACAATGGGTTCGCACGCTGTAATCGGGCACCAACCAAATGCTTAAGCAAAGCATAGACCAGTCGTATCGCAAAAGCAATACTTGTCGTATTTATTGGGTGCTTTGGAAGTATGATACGATTTTTAGTCAATGGCGTTTTCTATAACTTTAAATAACGACGTTTTCACGAAAAATCTGATGTTTAATACATACTGAGAATGTGGAAAGAAAGAAACCGTTAAACACTTTCTGTTGCAGCGCTCCTCAAATGGTTTTCCTCTTACTGCT